CCCCCCCCCCCCCCCCCCGGTTATGTGCTGACTGCAGGGGCTTTTGTGTCAGTTCTCCTCTTGCTCAACCTTTCAGCTGCTTTGGAAACAGTAACTACTCCCTTCTTGGAACTCACAAAACGGAAATGGTATATTGCTTCTTTCTTGCTACATAACAATCACCCCACAAATCAGCTGCCTAAAACACACATTTAGTAAGATGCCACCTCATGTGCTTTGGGGTGGCCACTATAAAAAAAGAAACACAAACAAACAAACCCCCAGAAAAACCAGTGTTGGCATGGATGTGGAGGAACCGAAATGCTTAGATGCTGCTAGTTGGGATACAAAATGGCGCCGCTGCTGTAGAAAACAGTATGGCGTTTCCTCAAAAAAGTTAAATGGAATTACCACATGATCCAGTAATTCCACTTCTGAGGATATATCCCAAAGAACAGAATATAGGATCTTGAAGAGATATTTGCCCACAATGCTTATAGCAGCACTGTTCATCAAAGCCAAGGTGGAAGCAACCCAAATATCCACTGATGGATGAATGGAGAGACAAAATGTGGTCTCTGCGTACAAGGGAATATGATTAAGTCGGGAAGCGGAAGGAAATGCTGACCCACGCGGCAGCACGGATGAACCTTGGGGACATTATGCTAAGTGAAGAAAGCCAGTCACGAAAAGACAAATGCTGTGTGATTCCCCTTCCATAAGTCATCTAAAGTACTCAACTTCACGAAGACAAAAGGTAGAAAGGTGGTTACCAGGGTTGGGATGGAGGAGAAATGACATGGATACAGAGCTTCAGTTTACAAAGCAAAGAAGTTCTAGAGATCTGTCCTACAACAACGTGAACATAGCTAATGCTACCGAACTGTTATGTTTAAAAATGGCTTCGATGGTAAAGCTTATGTTCTGTGCTTTTATCACAATTAAAATAAAAATATATATACCTTTCTTATCTCACACTTCCTGTGGGTCGGAATTTGGGCATAGCTTAGCTGCGTCCTCTATTTCAGGTCTCTCATAAGGCTGCACAGCAGCCAGGGTCTCATCTGAAGGCTCAGCTGGGGACAGGTCCTCTTCCAAAATAGCATGATTGTGGGCAGGATTCAGTCCCTTGTGTCCTGTTGGCTTGCAGCCGCCATTATCCCTTGCCACGTGGCCTCTCCGGAGTGGCAGCCTACTTCTTCAAGTGAGTAAACCACGAAGGCAATACTAGCAGAGTGGAAGTCATGATTTGTATCATCTGATTACAGAAGTAACATCCCATCACCTTTGTTACATTCTACTGAGTAGAAGCAAGTAATGGTCGAGCCCGCATAAAGGGCATGAGCACCAGCAAGCCAGCACCCCTGGGGACCATCTTAGAAATCTTGGGGCGCCTGGGTGGCTCAGTCAGTTAAGTATCTGACTTTGGCTCAGGTCATGATCTCACAGTTCGTGGGTTTGAGCCCCACGTCGGGCTCTGTGCTGACAGCTCAGAGCCTGGAGCCTGCTTTGGATTCTGTGTCTCCCCTTCCCTCTGCCCCTCCCCCGCTCAAGCTCTGTCTCTCTCTCTCTCCCTCAAAAATAAATAAACGTTAAAAAAAAAAACAGAAACATACATTTAAGAAATCCTTTCCTTTTGGGGTGCCTGGCTGGCTCAGTCAGCAGAGCATCTGACTCTTGATCTTGGGGTTGTAGGTTCGAGCCTGACGTTGGATGTAGACATTACTTAAAAATGAAATCTTAAAAGAAAAAAGGAAACCTTCCCTTTCTTGTAACTCTGCTGGAAGAAAAGCAAGAATGCAACTGAGATGGTGTCATAGGCTGAATGTTTGTATTCCCCCCCCCCCCCAGTATTCATATGTTGGAAACTTACCCCCAAACGCACTGGTGTTAGGAGGTTTAGATGAGGTCCTGAGGCTGTGGGGTCAGAGCCCTCTAGGAAGAAGACGACAGAAAGGTCTCTCCATGCAGAAGAACCAAGGAAATGGCATGGAGGCGCCCAGCACGAAGGGGTGGCTGTTCGCAAGCCAGGAAGCAGGCTTCCTCTAGGAACGGAATCTGCCCGTGTCTTCACCTTAGGCTTCTCGGCCTCCAGAGCTGCGAGAAATACGTGTGTATTGTGTAAGCCACGCCGCCTGGGATATTTTGTTACAGCAGCCCAGGCTGACTGAGACAGATAGGTGGAGACTGAGGCCCATAGGAGAGCACACGCCTCAGCTCGTAGGGACAGCCGTTTATGACTCATGGCCCCTGGCTCTTGGCGTACAGGAGGTCCGGCCCAGAGTGGCCCACATCCCATTGTCCCCAGGGAAACTGGAAAAGAGATTTCAAAGGAAATACTCATATTTTGGGGGCCCCCGGGGGCTCAGTCGGGTTAGGCGTCCGACTCTTGCTTTCAGCTCAGGTCATGATCTCCTGTGAGACGGAGCCCTGCACCGGGCTCTGGGCTGACAGAGTGGAGCCTGCTTGGGACTCTCTCTTTCCCTCTCTCTCTGCCCCTCCCACCCCTCAAAAATACATACGTAAACTTAAGAAAAAGCATTTAAGGGGCGCCTGGGTGGGGCTCTGTTGGTGAAGCGTCCAACTCTTCATTTCAGCTCAGAGAATGATCTCACGTTTTCTGAGTTCCGGCCCCGTATTTGGCACTGTGCTGATGGCGTGGAGCCTGCTTGGGATTCTTCTTCTCTCCCTCTCTCTCTGCCTCTAAAAACGAGGCACACACTCTCTCTCTCTGTCTCTAAAGATAAATAAATAAACTTTTTAAAAAAACATTAAGAAAAAGAAATACTCATATAGTTTGAATTTAGCAATTAATTCCAAATGTTTTAAAACTCTATTCAGGCCAAGAAGACAGAGCAAAACAACATATGCTCCAGCCCAGTGATGCCTGTAGACCCCACATTGCACCCCTTCTCTTTTCCCTTGGCTTCTGTGGGGGGGGGGGTCACATTACCCACTTAAGTTTTTAGCTGCTGTTTTGCTAGATGCTTTCTTCTCACGGCGTCAGACACGGACACTGCTCACGGCTCCGCCCTAGGTCTTCATCTCCCCGCACACACTTCGGGGGTTACATCAGTTGCCCCCAGGCTGCATTTACTACCTCCGCGCTGACCGCTCCTAAGTCCACATCTTCCACCCGAACCTGAGCCTCCGGACCAGGACAACATAATAACTGTCTTCTGGGTGCCACCCGGCCCCCGCACCCATCCCCCCGCCCCTGGCCCCCCGCACCCATCCCCCCGCAGCCGGCCCCCCGCACCCATCCCCCCCGCACCCATCCCCCCGCACCCATCCCCCCCGCACCTGGCCCCCCCGCACCCGGCCCCTCCGCCCCCGCACCCGGTCCCCGCCCCCGGCGCCCTCGCACCCGCACCCGGCACCCGCACCCATCCCCCCGCACCCGGCCCACCCCCGGCCCCCGCCTCCTCTTGGCTCCTCGCCAGGTGAACGGCACCACCCAGTTGCCCCATCCGGGAACCTGGAGCCATGCTGACGTCTCTCCCCTCATTTGATGCCCCCGGTCCGGCCACGTTCTCGCCTGTCTCCTCGGCAAACGCGCGCAGACCTCCTTCCCGGGCCCAGGCGGCGCGCTAGGCCTCGGCCTCGGGGGTCAGCAGCGCGGGACGCGAGGGGCCTCCGCCCCGTCAGTGCCCGCACCCCAGCGCCCCAGCGCCCTGTCAGTGCCCCAGCGCCCCAGCGCCCCGTCAGCGCCCCAGCGCCCCGTCAGTGCCCCAGCGCCCCAGCGCCCCAGCGCCGCGTCAGTGCCCCAGCGCCCCAGCGCCCCGGCAGTGCCCGCGCCCCAGCGCCCCGTCAGTGCCCCAGCGCCCCAGCGCCCCGTCAGTGCCCGCGCCCCAGCGCCCCGTCAGTGCCCCAGCGCCCCAGCGCCCCGTCAGTGCCCGCGCCCCAGCGCCCCGTCAGTGCCCCAGCGCCCCAGCGCCCCGTCAGTGCCCCAGCGCCCCAGCGCCCCGTCAGTGCCCGCGCCCCAGCGCCCCGTCAGTGCCCCAGCGCCCCAGCGCCCCGTCAGTGCCCCAGCGCCCCAGCGCCCCGTCAGTGCCCGCGCCCCAGCGCCCCGTCAGTGCCCCAGCGCCCCAGCGCCCCGTCAGTGCCCCAGCGCCCCAGCGCCCCGTCAGTGCCCGCGCCCCAGCGCCCCGTCAGTGCCCCAGCGCCCCAGCGCCCCGTCAGTGCCCCAGCGCCCCAGCGCCCCGTCAGTGCCCGCGCCCCAGCGCCCCGTCAGTGCCCCAGCGCCCCAGCGCCCCGTCAGTGCCCCAGCGCCCCAGCGCCCCGTCAGTGCCCGCGCCCCAGCGCCCCGTCAGTGCCCCAGCGCCCCAGCGCCCCGTCAGTGCCCCAGCGCCCCAGCGCCCCGTCAGTGCCCGCGCCCCAGCGCCCCGTCAGTGCCCCAGCGCCCCAGCGCCCCGTCAGTGCCCCAGCGCCCCAGCGCCCCGTCAGTGCCCGCGCCCCAGCGCCCCGTCAGTGCCCCAGCGCCCCAGCGCCCCGTCAGTGCCCCAGCGCCCCAGCGCCCCGTCAGTGCCCGCGCCCCAGCGCCCCGTCAGTGCCCCAGCGCCCCAGCGCCCCGTCAGTGCCCCAGCGCCCCAGCGCCCCGTCAGTGCCCCAGCGCCCCAGCGCCCCGTCAGTGCCCGCGCCCCAGCGCCCCAGCGCCCCAGCGCCCTGGCCGGGGCGGTGGTCAGAGCCCGTTCCCTCGCTGGAAAGCTAACGTAAAATAGGGCTTGGCTGGCAAATCGTTAAGTTAGCTCAGCTAACGCTAGTGCGAGAGAACGTTCTGGGCCGGGCTGAGGTGGAGGCGGGAGGCGGGAGGCGGGGAGACCGGGACCCACGCGGGGAATGTTGCGGAAGCAGAATGACACGATGCGCCGTGGGTGCGCGAGGCCAGGGCGCTTGGCCCGGATCAGTCTTGCGGAGGGGTGGTCGGGGACACCGGCGGTGTGGGCGAGGGGTGGGCAACGAGGCTCCCTGCGGAGACGTCCCCGAGCACCTGCCGCGCGGGCCGACCCACCCTGTCCCTCTGCTACCGCCCCAGCCCTGGCGCCTGCCTGTCTCGCAGACTTCTTCAGAAGCTTCTACCCTGCTTCACCGTGTCCACCCCCTTCCCTGTGCAGGCCAGGGGGCCTTGTGCACACGAACTCTCCCGTCCACCCCCGGCAAGCAAATAACTGCTTCTTCTGAGGGTCCAATAGGTGTTCATTAACGTATAGGTTTATAAGCTGTTGGAGTCAGAAAGGGTCTTCACAGCATCTACTCAAATATTCAGTCAAGTAGTCTTTCCGCTTCCAGATTTCTCCCCCGCTGCTCTGTCCTTATGAGAGGCAGTGTGGCACGGACAGAAGCTAGGCCTTTGGCGTCAGGTAGAAGCTGCCTTCGGTTCAGGTAAGTTACTCAAATTCTGGGGACCATAGACATTTTGTTTGTGAAAAAAGAGTTTCCTTTGAATTGGGTGTTGGGTCCCCAGGACCGCCCTCGGGTTCACTATTTGCTAGAAAGACTTCTGCCCAACTCAGAAGAGCGGTGACACTTGTGGTTGCAGTTTATTACAGCAACAGATTAATGCTGAAATCAGCGAAGGAAAAACTGCATCAGGCAGGGTCCCGGAGAGACCAGATGTGCGGTTCCAGTGGCCCTCACGCAGGGGCGTCCTGCAGACAGAGCTCACTTCTCCCAGCGATGACGGGGGACAACGCACAGGATTGTTGCCAACCGTCTGAGCCCCGGTGCCCAGCGTTTTTACGGAGGGTCAGCTGTAGAGCTGTAGCCGCGTGACTGGCCGCAGGCAATCAGTGTTCACCGCCACTCCCCCACCCCGATCAAGTCAGGCCGAAATAGCGACAGAGCGTGGCCGAGGCCCCGGGCAAATGAAAACGGGCGTTCATCACAAGTCACGTTGTTGACAGAAGCTATCCGGCGTGACCCATGTAGAAAGATGATCTTATCAGACAGGGTATTCCAAGGGTTTATAGATTATCTCCCAGAGCCAACCAAAGGCCCGTCCTTCCTTTGGACTCTGCAGAGTTTGAGGATCCCAATCCTGCTGATTTAATCCTTTACTGCGTAGTTTAAAAAATTACTGTTCGGGGGCGCCTGGGGGGCTCAGTCGGTTGAGTATCCGACTTCGGCTCAGGTCATGATCTCGCGGTTTGTGGGTTCGAGCCCCGTGTCGGGCTCTGTGCTGACAGCTCAGAGCCTGGAGCTGCTTCAGATTCTGTGTGTCCCTCTCTCTCTGCCCCTCTCCTGCTCGCACTCTGTCTCACTCTCTCTCTCTCCTTCAAAAATAAACAAAACATTAAAAAACAACAACAACAGAATTTAATAGAAGGAATTGGTTACATGGGTGATGGAAGAGCCTAGAAGCTCAGCAGGAGACATTGAGGGAACCCAGAAATTAGCAGTAACAACAGGAAGCCTCTCCTGCCCCTAGGACTAGAGGTGGTGAGACTAGAGCCCAAGGCTGGGGCCATTTGCAGGAACTGATGGGTGGGGACCCCGGGGGTCACTGCGACCACAGAGGCAGGGAGCCAGGACTGTGGAGGAAGAATCCGCTCCTATCGGACCCCCAAGCGGTGGGAGACAGGGAGCTATGCCCTGGCTTCTCCCTCCCTCCCATCTGCTACCTTCCCACTTGCATCTCCTATTGGCTGAGCCCAGCCAGGAGCTCCCTGATAGGGGAGCCTGGGAAATGTAGTTTTCCGAGGCTGCGGGCTCTGGGCGGGGATGGCGGGGGGGGGGGGGGGGAGGCAGACATGCTGCCTTACGACACTGCCAGGCATGTCCGTCCACACCACCCTGGTAGCCTGCTTGGGGGCTGCCCTGCAAGCAGAGGGCACTGCCCCGTTACACGGACCAGGACACTTATGGCCTCAGATGAAGAAAAATAGTCTGGGGGGGTTAGAAAGCGGTTGGGGTGGGAGAAAGGAGGCACGACTGCGGGCTTCACCCCATCACAGATGCACGCGACGTTTTTCCAGAACCCTTCCAAGTCAGGAAGTATCCCCTGTAGCCAGAGCTGGCAGAGGTGGGAAGGGTGAGGTATTAGCTCCACACATTCTTTATTAATTTAACGCCGTAAGGAATTTCCCCCTGCC